TTTTTAGAGTCTGGTCTAGAGTGCAGACGCTGCTCATTGAGGAAGTGTTAAGTGGTTATTGATCCTGGAGAGGAACACTGTGTTCAGATTTGTTTTACTTGCAGTGTCTCTGCAGAGAGAGACAACTGAATTGGAGCTATTATTGTTGCTATCTGTAAACTTTACTGCAGTAATGCCCAATATTATATTTGTATCGGCAGATACTTCAAGTTGCAGTATCGATATCAGACCTGAAAATGTTGTATTGAGCCATCCTTAGTATCAACCACGTATAATACAACTTTAATGAAGCTTATTGTAGCTTGTTAAATCAATGCAAAACATATATTCAGTATAGAGTACAATACAGAGGGACATGAACCATATGGTAAACTGAACTGTAGAGCCTTCAGCACAGTCACATAATGACAGCTGAGAGGTCTGCATTTTCAGATGGTGAACTTCAGCCTCCCTTCTCCCCCAACAGCCTGCCTGCTAATCTGGGAACTTGAAGAACAAGATGTATTGTGTCTGGTTATAATCAAGACTGAGCGCAAGGACCAAGGAATGTAGCATGATCTGATCTGTGCAGCAGACAGGTCTGAAGTAAAGGTGAAGTACGAGGTGGGAGACTTTAGACAAAGTGAGGGAGCAGCTGAGTGTCATGTCCCTTCTGCCCTCTGGGGTCAATTACGTTATTATTGAGAAGTTGATGAAGGAAACGTAGCTGGATTCAACACTAAAAACTGTCATTGTCTAAAAAGATCACAGTAAAGAACATTACACTGCAGCGTAAAACTATTATTATTTGGTTAACAGGATGTTTCTATATGTTCTCTAAACTCAATCATCGAGGTCCATAAAAAACAAAAACATTCATCACAAAGTCGCTGCCAGTATAATGTGTTATACAGCTCAGTGTTTGCAGGGGCTCTGACTCTCAGGAGTCTGACAAATAAATATAGAAGAACATTTTGAGTCATCCTTAACACTTCATCAGCCCTGTGTGTTCCTGAGTAAAGGTGAAGTGTGAAAGATATCTCTTCCATCCGCTTTATTTTTTATCAGTGACAGCAAGAGGAAATTGGGTGTGTACTTTCTTTTAAAACAATCTTTTAAAATCTTTGTTTCAGGTATGGTTTCAGTAACCTAAAATATTCATACACTCTTTTGAAAGCTAATTAAAAAGTCCTTATTATATGAGCAAAATGCAAAACGTCAGGCTTTTAAATGTATCACATATAAAAGAAACTATAGTTATAAAGCATTTTAGATCTAGAGTTGGACGTTATATTTAGCCACTGCAGTACACCACACATTTGTGTCGGAACTCTCAACGTGCAAAGTGTCCTACATGTTACAACAGAGAAGAAACCACCGTGCAGGAAAGGGAGAAACAAGATGTTGAAAATGTCTCTAACCCATTACTGGTTAATCCAAATTAGCTGGAAAATACTTGGTACATTTTGGAATTTTTTTTGTTTTCTTTGTCAGAAAATATTGCCTCTTTCTTGTAGTTAGGAAATAATAGCCATTTGATTGAATGTTTGATTGATGATGAACATATTGTGATCTGCATAGGACACCAGGGTTGATCACACAGTGGTTATTCTGTGCTCACTGGCCAAAACTCACTTTCGATCAATTCAATTCAATAACTATGGCCAATTCACAATTCAGGTATGAAGGTCCTCAAATGAACTTTCCACAGACTTCTAGTGTTTCTATCTGAGGTACAAACCTGTGATTAAAAATACACACAAATATGGATGTGATTAAAGGGGAAGAAAGTGTTGATAATAACAACCATGTGTTGAATCAAACCTGGTCCCGTTTTACCCTTTTGATGTTTACACTTATTGAAGTTGCAGAATTTAATAGTGTAAACACAAGACGACAGCTGAATATTTTGGATTGTCTATTTGAATTATAATGCCCCACCGTGAATGTTGTAGCAAAAAATAAAAGCTACACTTCGAGTTCTGACTTCACAGAAATTCGAGTGCTGAAAAAAAACTCTGTCTCTGTCCACAGACACCAGTAGTGCCAGATGTACTGCAGTAGTGTGCTGGCAGTACTGCACCAGGATTGGCCCGACATTTAACATAATGAAAAAGGCTGCACGTCACCTTCGCCTAAGCATTTCCTGTCAGACATGGAGCTAGCTTCTCGACCAGGGGTTTAGGATGCACACTTTTATATTGTTAATGAACTTGATTATTTTCATAAAATGCAGTGCATTGTATAAAGGTCCTCTATTCAAAAGGAAGCTTGCAAAATTAGCTGCAGTTGAAACGTACTTTCTGACAGACTTTGCAAAAGACTGAAACTTTGCATCACTTCAGACTACGTTTGCATAAGAAGCTGTGGTTTGTTTCCTAAAGGAACACCAGCAGCACTGCAGGCTAGCACAAATGTAAATCAAGAGGTTTTTACCGCCCGCTGTGGCTTCAGTTTCCTATCCACTAAACATCAAAGTACCGTCTGGATTTTTACTAGAAGTGACTTAAAGACAGTTTGGCCGTTTGTGTTCAACAAGCACCGAGGAAACAACAACGCCATCCGTGTATGAGCTCCTCGTGTGACCTTTTAACCCACTTGATGGACGTGATGATTGAACAACAAGCAAAGCTAGCTGGTAGAAGTGTTTGAGTTTGGCTAAAGTATTTGCTTAGCTAATGAAAACCACACCAGCTGGAGTTTTGGTCTCCCTTCAATCCTTGGCTGAAAGGAGTTTTGAGGGTGGTTGCTGGGATGTAGACAAGGCAAGGCTAATGATGAATGGGTTTGGGCTCCACTTTCAAGTCTTGTATCTCACTGAGCCAAATTCTTCCCTGCACCGAATTTTATCCCATGCAAAGAGTTACATTGTCCAACGGATCTGAAACGAGAACCTGATGAAATTTATGGACGGTGCAATACTCGTGATCTTCCTGACATGTTTCCCAAAGTCTACAGCTTTGTTTATTAATCCCATCCCACCTGCTCGTTCAAATTTTCCAAAATATATCATTTTGACTTTTATAATACCCTCCTTCCTACAATAGCTCAATTCCTGAAATCATGTGGATTTCCTTTGATTGTATCCACCTCATGTGCGCAGCAGCACGTTTGAGCTGGGTGACTGTTAGTCTGTCTGCGTCACCTCGAACTAACGTCTTCGTCATCAGCTCACTGAGCTTTTGTTTTCAGTCTACCTCACATGCCCAGAAACTTTACTGTCACTTTTTTTGAATGGATTGTGTAACATTCAGACTGAAATCTTTTGAACAATAATGGTGTCATGGCTACAGAAATCCAAACTTGTTATGAAATCTGGGACAGCCGTCTCAAACATAAGGTGAGGGCCACTTCTGCCACCGTCATTTCAATTGAATCAAAACAAAACAAAATGGATATTCTAGAAAACGTGGTCTTTGTTTTAAAAAAAATACTACATAATAATTCAACAGCTTGTACATATACTTTTTATTCTTGAATGGACCAAGAAAGCATTTCATACTTTCATGCAATTATTATTAAATTAAATGAGAAAGGTTGAATTAAAAACTCAATGACATTTTGTCACAGACCAGATTTTGGAAGGTCTGGTCCAGAAGTGCCCCCCGGGCCAGAGGTTTAGGACCAGGGGTTTTCTTTGTTGTTGTTGTTGTTAGCCTTACTGGTTTCTGTAGTACAGATGTTAGCATTCTGTATATCCTCAGCTGCGTGTGAACATATCAAAAATCAGAAACCAATGCAACCTTAACCTTTCTGTCAACCTGCGTCAGCTTTTACCTTAGCACAAAACACAAACAGTATTAGCTTGTGTTTCATTCTATACTTCAGTGACTTCACTTTCACTTTTTGCTGGGAACCGATTTCTGACGAGATGCAGTCACTTTTGTCTCTGGACCCTGTGGCACGGTCGAACAGCATTGCTTCTCTCATCATCGCTCTGGGCTGCAGCCTTACATGAGTCAATTCCTCATAGTCAGGAATCAGAACAAATAGCCTCTGTTATGCATCACACCAGTCTAGACAGTAACTCACATTACTTAACGGCTCACCTGCCAGAAGCATGCTGGCGCAGTAAAGCAAAGCAGCCAGCGTGAATAAAAGTTGAAGAAATACAGATCTAGGTTTATGCATCTTTGGGGTTTTTCAAAGTGTTAAAAAGTTGGGCAAACCAGTAGGTGGCACACCGTGCGGTTTTAATGTTTCTACAAAGGTAATTATTACACCCCGGTGATTACCCTGCGTCATTTACTGTACTTGATGATACACAGACTTTCGGGACATGTTAGGTCTGATAAAGGTCGATGAAAATAAAAAAAGATAATCCAAAACTGTGATTTTAAAGACTCAGCCATGTTATGAAATAGTTCTGCTGACCAATACATTAGCAGTGAAAGACATTCCAGGGTTTAATCAGTGAATTAACTTCTGAATTACTGACAGAGACATAACTCACAAATAGTTTGCAGTAATTGGTTGAACTGCTCTGTGGAAAAGAACTTGACAATGACATCAGCCAAATACCTGTCTGGAAAGAGGAGTGATATAGTCTCCCATGAATGAACAATAACAGGCTTTATAACTGATAATTGGGAAATGGTTTTGAAATGTTTTCACAGCACATAAAAGTAATCTTACAAATTTACCACAAAGTCCGAGAACAGGTCCAAAAGCTCTCGGTTTAAAAGGTTTTCTTTGACCTCACCAGGCCACCGTGGACGTTTGAATTAGTAAAGCTGGACTCTTTGAACATAAAACGACGAGTGACCGTCACAATTTGACCATAATGAAAGAACAGGAAGGGTCTGTCTGGGCCTGTTCATTAAAAACAAGCAGTTATAGTAGTCCCCACATTAAGCTCTGTGCTCAGTTTTAACATGTGTAGGTCACTGCTCACAAACCGCAGATTGCACAGCTCTGGGTTTACTTTGTAGAATAGCTGTGCAGAAATGATGCAGACTTCAGCCTTCTCTTAGGGTAATATCTGTTGTACTAATGTATCATCTGTTGCACTCATCACACAGATCCGTGACACAGCTGTTCAAAGACCGAGCGGCGGTGCTGCTGCTGCTGCACTCCAGCGGCGGTGCGACACGGTCCACACGGTCTGACGGTGCTAGCAGCCATTGTGATGGTTAAATATGGGATATTTGCGCAGAGCGAAAAACCAAATGCACTTGCAGGCTCGGAAAAAGGAGCCCCGTAGTAGCGCTGATTAGAAAACCAGTTTGTTTCGGCTTTACTTATGGCTTCTGGCTCCAACGATGACGAGGGAAACACGGAAGACGTTTGCTGGAGTCTCATTGGCTCGGCCTCGGAGCTCTCCAAGAAGCGCTGCCGTCTGATGTACTCCTCCCTCGGCCACGACTCTGATGTCTGCCTGTTCTTCGTCAATGGCGAGTTCTTTGCCATGGATGCTCGCTGTGCACACGCCGGTAAATCTACTTGGAATTCACGTTTGATTAACAATGTGTTTGATGCACCCACCGTTTGACCACGTGCTCATGTAGATGAATTAAACATTATAACATTACAACAATTGAACATTAGGTTTATATTACATTAAGAATTGCAAGTAATTTTTCAACAAGGCTATATATATATATATATATACACACAATGTATGTATATGCAGTATGTATAAATCTGTGTGTATATATGTGTATGTGTCTCTCTGTATATATGTGTATATATACAGTATACGTACAGTATGTATTGTATTATATTTATATTATTGTATTTATTATTTCATTTTAAATATTCCCTAGTATTTAAATACAAATTTACCATATTGCAGTTAAGCTTAGCTAAATTAGCTAATACCGTAAAACACATATGCAAGGTACAGTAAATAGGCAGGGCTAGTCAATACTGATTATAAACATACCTTGTGTGATATCAATGCCCAAATCAATACTATTATGACCTCCTACCTTGTTGCCAACAGGTCAATGTGTGTTTAAAGAGAATAACATTTGTGGAAAGAAAGCCTAGAAAACAACTTCAGTTCCTCTGCTGTTTTCTAGAATGTTCTGCATAATGGCAGCCTTTAAATTAATATAGTTTTTAAATCAATTAGAAAATAATTAAGGGCTAATAACTTTATTCCCAACTTTCAGCTACAGTACTAATATCTCTCGTAGGTCATTTGGCTCTACGATTACAGACACTTATCTTCAATTATCACCTCCAGTAATGTAGTGGTCTTCTCCCACAGGTGGTCCTCTATGCGAGGGGGACATTGAAGAGGCTAATGGAGTCCTGAAGGTGTTCTGTCCATGGCATGACTATGAATTTGAACTAAGGACAGGGAAGTCAGGGACCTCTTTACAGGTCAGTATTGAATAATGTATTTGAAAAATAGTTCATATAAAGTCTTGTTCCATCATTCCGACATATAGAGTGAAAACAACAACAGTTTATTTTCAATATGGTCGTTTGTGTTTATTGCACTTTGTCTTATGGATTTTTATTTTATACGGATTATAAGGATATATTTATATTAAGGCAATTTTCAAATGTGTTTGTGTTCAATCGGTCATAAGGTTCTGTGTCCAAGTTAGTTAGTTAGTAAATGAGTTTGAAGAGGTCCATTACTACCATTAACTTTGATCCTGGAGAAAGATGTGTTTGTAGGACTCACATGCGTCATTCTCTACCCATAAAAGGCTCACAGACAAATTCATCTTCTCTGTAAAATTCTCTACAGTGTTCTTTCTAAAACAAACCAAATGTTACCTCCAGACAAGTGAATTCATACCTTTGAAAATCAAATCTGATAAAAGTTCTACTCTGACACATGAAAGCTCCCAGATTCTACAGTAGCTCTCTGTAAAATCTCCTGCTGTTTTCTCTTTGTTTTGATGGTTTTAGCAACAGGTCCACGAAGTCAAGCTGGAGGATGGCAATGTGTACGTGAAACACACCAGTCGTCTCTCCTTACTGCCTTTTTCTGGAGATCAGAAGACGGACAACCTCAAACCAGCTGCTTCGTCCATCAGCCGCAAGTAAGAGACGTTCCACAAACACTAGCCATTAAAAACATTCGTAATCCTTATGTGTTGAAGGGGATTGCAGTAAACTCAGGGGGCATTATCACGGGTACTGTCTGAGGAGGACATGATATCACGAAGCCGATTCACAGTGTTTCTTGATGGTGTTCCAGGGAGAGATTCGTCACAGACACTGTGCATGGAAAGCTGTGAGCTCAAGGTTGGCGTTAATAAAACAGTGGCAATTTTCAGCAACAAGTACACACTGTACTTGTAGTTGGAAAAGTCGAATGTTGTTCGTATAATTTAGTAACCTTGTTTTGGAGAGAAAAAAATGTAACTTGAATTTTAAACTGCGTCTATATTTTTTTTTTTACCTTTCGGTGGTCTGTTGTTGGTGAGTTTTGGTGGTAAAATGATTATTTTACTAGAAAAAAAAGAAAAACACAACAGAAACTGTAGCATTTGCCTTCTGCATTTTAAAAGTGAATCAATCAGATCGTATACTTTGAGCACTTTTGATTTTTGATGTATTTATTACACAGTGGCGTTGGAGGTCCAGAGATGAAAATGTAAATTATTGTGTTTAGCAATCATTATTTTCCCTAATTAATTTTATTTGAGGAGAAAAAGGTGTAGTTTTCATGAGGCTTTCTGTTTGATGGACAACCATGACCTCAGTTTTACCTCACTACAAAGAACTCACACACACATACAGGCAGTCAGTTATTCCATTGATGTAAAGTAACAAAAAGTCTTTCAGAATTTCAGTTTTGAGGAAGTGGAAAAGTCATGACAGAAACTGCAGTTATGGCCAGTTATACATAAAAAAAAGGAAAAAAATAAGTCATCCCTACTAACCTGCGCTAGTATTTAGTGGACATGCACCGGAGGAAGACCTAAAATGCACCACCAGCCAAGGGAGGAAAAAGTGAATAGTCAGTGACTGTAATTTCTTTCAGCTGGGTTTCCTGAAAGTCCCACAGAGCCCAGTCACATGGTGTTGGTGACTGTGTTCTGTGCTCGTTCCTGCTCCTCCCCGCTGTGCTACTTTTATTGCATTAATAATTCTCTTGAATTATGTCTGCCCTGTGCTGCAAATGCATACAAGTGCGCAGTATAACTCATCACCTGGGTAGCAACAGTAATGCAGTGTGAAGTATTGTACAAGTCGAAGTCATAAAAAATATATAGCAAAGTAAACAATAATACTGATTTAGCTAGTCCGTGCTCATTAAACGGATTTTTCCATGTTTTGTTTTGTTTGGACAATGTCGAAGTTGTTTTTGTTTAATGTAAAAATATGTGTAGCTCACGGCCACATTCAAATTAAGCACTGTGACTCGGCAGTTTCAGTTTTTAGTTCTGTGTTCCTGGTGTCTCTTTAACAATGTACTATTTAAAAATCAATTTTAAAAATCATTATTTTGCTTTCATCAATGGACTTTGTTGTGTATTCTTCAGTGTAGAAGAGTTTCATTCTGGAAATATTTCTTTGTGTCAGTTACTCTTACCCCAGCTCAAGTGACCAACAGACAGAAACATTAATGTTTTATGTGGTATTTGAACTTTTATTTCTCCCTTTCTTAGCTGTCACTCTGTTCTTCACAAAAGTACCACAGACTACGGGGTCCTCGGTTTACGGCGTATTCGACCTACGACATTTCATGATTACGTCGCCATCTCCCATAAATTTAAGACTTGTTCCATCATTCCAAAGCACTTTGTTAAAACATAATTCACAGTGATCTTAGCCGACGGATATGTCGTAACGCTACACTATGCTCTGAAGACGGCTTTCTTTACATTTACCAGTTGTACGTCATATATTGGATTGTTACCTTCACTTTTTTTTCTGGCCCTTCATTATGACTCCCAAGTGTAAGTCAGACTCTTCTGATGTTTTTATGTCCTAGATCAGTGGTTCTCCAACTTTTTCTACTCTGTTCCACCTGAGAAAACATTGATCTCTCTGAGTACCACCATGATGACCAACATTAGAATATAGCAGCAGAGGCCTTCCCTGTTAGCTTCCACCACAGGAGAGATGTTTAGGTTTAAATGTTGTATTAATTGTGCATGGTATGTTTCAGATTTATTCAACTGAAAATGTAAATGTGAAAATATGAATTTTCCCCGCGTACCACTAGGGGGCTCTCGGGGTACACGTACCACAGTTTGAGAACCACGGTCCTGGATTATGATGTTACCACTGTGTTAGCGTTGGTGAGTGACATAGGGACTGATGTACAGTATGTAAGTTCCTACATTGCGCAGTAGCAACAAAATTCTACTAATGGAAGTCAATGACCTTTTGTATTTATGTAGTTGTGTGTCTGTGTGAGAGGCATTTTACACATATATGTTTAATGTCGTTCCTAAGGCACAAGTCAGATTATGTCAGAGTACAGGACTCTGTTCTAATATTAGACGCCTGGTCAAACACACTGTTTACGCTTTTATGCTTTTGTGTTTCCTGAATCCATTACCAGTTCAAAATCATTATGCTTCGGATGTTTACACAAAATCTTTTATTTACAGATTCCTGTTTGTGCCATTTTAATAGACTTCATACAAAACACAATTTACACATTCAAACTTTTTTTTCTGAAAAGAAAATAACATCAGCATCAACATGCAATAGTTAATTGTGTACAGATGATTACATGTTTATGTAATTCTTTGACTGGAGCACAGTGGCAAATATACAAATCTTTTCTTATACTCCAGAAAGTGTTGGAAAAGTTTAGGGATAACTCCTGAATAAATTATGATCTCGCTGAGACCAGCTGGACTGTACAGAGGAGAAGATGAGAAGCTGGCCTTCCTGGAGTGACTGTAAATTTGCAGGAGGAAAGTTGAGTTAAAAAAAGTAAACCTTGTGTGAAACAAGTGGTGGATAATGTGAAATGCACACTTGATTTTAGAGAAACCTGTTTCTGTTCTTTACCTTTTGTGTTCATTCGAGGACAAAACCTCTTTTGCATTCCTTTAAATAATCCAAAGAGAACGTCGGTCGTTCTCCAGGCCTGTATTAACACAGGTTGCAGTTTCCTAATTTCCTGTTGACTGTAGCCTCCCGTCGCCATTACTAATATGTCATTGGTAACAAATCTGCTCCAAGTCTAAGTCAACTGTGTTTATTCGCTGCCCCATGAGAGAATCAGTATGATGAACCTTTTCCTTTTCATCCATCATGACCTAGTATCACAGAAGCCTATTTCAGATGTTTCTAGAACAGTTAGAAACAGGGCCCATCTTACTTCACCATGACAAACCTAGTTCACGTAGCCTGGTGTTTTTCAACCCTCGGGTCGTGATCTCACATGGGGTGGCTTAGAATTTAAATGGGGTCACCTGAAACGTCTAACAATAAACATTTTTTTAAAAGTAACATGCCCAACGGAAGCTGAAACTGAAGCACTGTACCTTCCATCTTTAAAAATTAAAACTAAAATAAAATTGTACTTTGTGGATACTCTGTATCTGCAACACATTATAACAAATATGATCAAAAAATTTCTGGGGTGGTCAGGAATTTGTGATGTGAATATGGGGTCAAATTAGGAACAACTGACAGTCTGTTACTGTTACTTTTTCCTTGTTACTTCAATTCCGTCTCAAGGAGAAGCCAATGTCCCGTCAAAGGATTCTGTCTCAAAGAAACCTGTATTTTGACAAGTGCAACCATTTACAAACCTTGAGATTCTGTATGTGATGGATGGTAGAACCAAAAAAGACTAAAATATCTGTTTCTTTTTTTTTCCTTTTAAACAAGCAGCCCATCGGAAATAATTCAATCCACCACTAGGCAGACTCGTCTCTCTCTCGCTTGATGTCTTTTATCTGTAACATTTCCTCCAGTTGCTCTACAGCTGTTGCACCTTCTCAACTGACCCCGCAACATCGTTGCATTTTTATGGGCCTTATCTTTTCCCACACGTGGGTGTAATTATGGTGTTTAGTTTTTTGGAGGTTTTTTTTTTTGTGATTCAAACTGTTCATCCAGTTGATGGTCCGCAGGCCTGTGGTTATCAAAGTCAGACATAATACAACAGGTATTCTGCAGCTGTCACTCTTTATTTTGTTGTTTTGCTCTGTGAGCCGCCTGCTCATTATCTATTACATAATGGAAAGAGATTGTTCAGACAAGTGAAGGATTGTTTTACATTTCCACAACTTCACACTGGCACATTGCAGCAACTGAATAAACTCTTTTTAAATTAGGAACAGAAAGGCTTCGTTCAAGGTGAAAACACATTTTACTGCACTCACGGCTGATGGATATATATATATATATATATATATATACATGACCATGATCCTATTGACCAGTTAAAGTTATTATTGTTTTGTTGTTTTTAAATGTCAGGGGAAAACACCTTAGTTCTCAAGAGAAGATGTTATTTATTTCTTAATTAACAGCAGATGTTAATTCACATGTCTGCCACTCCTGGCCTCTCTCAAAATTATGTTTTGGATTATTTCAGCTTGAAGGGTTCGCCCCATTGGTCATTAACAACACATTTTGCAGATAAGCAGCCAGAGGTTTTAATCATTATAAAGAAGTTTATGTCTTTTACTGACTTAAATAAAGGCACGTTTTAACCAAAAGATTTTGGTTAAAGAATTTTTTTTTGTTTTGTTTACTGTCAGTGATCTCATTTATGGAAACATGGTTAATAACAGCTCTCCCTAATTATCACTTCCATGTGTAGCAATCATGCAGGGATCTTCATAATGAGGAGAAGACTCCACAGAGAGTTTTAACTCCCACTAATCGTATTGTTTGCTGACGGTAAAAATGTTACTCTGCTGCACAAATTATAAACATTTGAATCACGTGGACTGTGGGGGATTCATGGAAATGTAAAAAAAAGTCCACACTGTAAAATCTGTTTTTCGAATGCCTTGACCTCACATGGATTAGCACGCTCTATGAACGCAAATCCATAATTGTTGTACGTCCAACTAAACTAGAACGTGACACTACGTTGATTAGTCACTGAGGGAAATGTGTTATTTTGTATTATATGCAGTAGATCAGCATTGACAGAGTTGACAATGATGTGTTTCGGGGAAGGAAAAGAAAAGCCAAGCCTGTGTCTCCTTCAAGTGTGCTTTACATTATATATAACAGTACATGAAACACTCTAAATCGGAAATAATTTGTTAAATGGCTGATAATGCTACATTTGGGGCCAATATTGTAGGGCGTTAAGTAGAAAAATATGTCAGTAAAAACAAACACAATGATTAAAGTGGAATGCCACAAAACTAGAACTCCAACTGTTACATTTAAATACTCTGTTAGCCAAACACAATTACTTGTGTTTTTTTAGATGAGATATATAAAACTGTTCAAGTAAAATACAGACTGTTTCAATTATTACTGTATACATTTAATTAATGTCTGCCATGGTTTTTGATTTCTATTGTCAAGAAGTGCGTTCTCAGCAACAGGCAAAACGTACATCCGCCAGTCAGTGTCATCATTTCAAACTCAAATCAATGCCTGTAAATGATAAAGAAAAAGAAAACATATACGTCATTCTGCTATCGATCTGTACTTACTTCATTGTATTTCTATTGACGCAGTTGAGCGCGCGTGGACATTCTCCTTCTGGTCGTGGAGCTGATTCTGCGAGTTTGGGTGCTGCTCTGCTGCTCCGATGGATAGACCACCACCTGGGTGGAAGACCTCTGCATCTGTAGACCTCGTGACTCCCTCATGTCTCTTGCCATTTGCGACAGTGTTTGACCTGGGTTGGTCTGCAGGCGCTGAAAAAGGCTTTCCCTGCTGATTTTCCTCTCAGGACAGCTAAAGGTTAGTGCCACTCCCGTATCTGACTTCATCTCTCTCGAAAACCCATCTGAGGTCCCATCGAAGCAGCGCCCAATTGCGATCTCCTTCGCGACTCTTGGATTTTGGTCTGTCACGGTGTAGATGCCATAGTTGTGTCCGAGGGGGTCGACGGGAGCCAACATGGTGAACGCGTGGGACTCGTTATTTGGAATGACTGGTGGATGTTTAATAAGATACTCGTGTAGGAGGTTGTTGGTGCCAACCCTGCGACAGTTTCCCTGCGGGAGGACAGATATGAGGGACCTGTCCACCTCGGCTTGGTCAAAGAGCATGCCGCTGCATTTGAACTCTACACAGGCTGCAGATGCGTTGGCTTCTCTCATGTCCCGTGTGCTGCGGATGTCTCTAATTCCATAGAGTTTGCCTTTTGTTTCTCTGTGGGTTCCTCCCAGGTTTCTTGACCTCACCATCACTTCCTTCTGCCCATGAGAACAGAACCGGTGACAAAGGGCAGCCTCACTTCCTTCTGCCCATGGATCTTAACCTTAATGAAGCACGCCCTGAATTCCTGGGGATTTGGCCACCAGGAGAGATAGTCCCCTGTCCAGGTTGTTAAATCAATTCCTGGGGATTTGGCCACCAGGAGAGGTAGTCGTCTTTCTTCAAAAGGAACAACATTGTATTCATACTTGTCCTTTTCTACTCTGAAGAATCTGAAATGGTTTGCATCAACAGGGGCACTCTCGCAATCTATCATATTCCGATAAGCATATATCGGCCCATTGGTCTCATCGAAATTGTTCTGGTTTGGCTTAGGCAAGTTAATTCTGAAGGCTGTTTTTTTCAGAGCTGAATCATCATGGTCTGAACGTTGGTAGTCTATTTTATCCAGATATGGCTGCGAGACTCCGATTATGTTTGGATTCATCTTAGGGGTGGATGGAGCTGCCTCAAGTTCTTCCCCACCCATCATGGCAGTAACATATGCAGTGTAGGCATCCGGCCTAAGGGCGTCACAGAAGGCTGGTAAACAGGCGCCGTTGGGACCAGTTAGGACACTGTCAAAACGACCCCATGCCCTAGGATTCGATGAGTATCCAGGTTTTGGCTCCAGGTTTATCAAGCTGATGACAACCCCTTCCAGCTGTTCGCTGGGAAGAAATTTGTCACTCATGTAGGCCCGAACTTTGACAAAGCAGCGTCTGTTTTCAGGTACATCGAGGTTAAAGAGTCTGCGTTCTCTTATCTCCATGTTGCCTATGAGAAAAGTGCGCTCCTCTCGTTTGCTGCGTCCACCGGTCGTGGTTTTGGTGTATGAAAAATCACCCTCCTCCTCCCAGACCCCTGTGTCTGGGTTCAAAGACCACAGTTTCATTTGGGGCACGTGTTCTTCCATTTTGACATGCTGTGTATCGAGGAGGACTTGAACACCCCCTGCTCCAAGTATTTCCTTATTGGCTTCATCCCTGAAGTCTACTGAGAACATACCATAGGTCCTCAGAGGGAGCATGTCACCCTCATCATCCACAAAATTAAGATCACCAGGAGCGGCAGCAGCAGTGGTGATGTTTCTAGGGTCAATGAATGTGACACTAGCTTTCACGGTCCCCTCGTAGATTTCTCCACTGTCTTTATGGAAGGAATTGGGTGGAATAACCAACTGTCCTATTGGGTCTTCTCCTTCAATTTCTCCGAGGTCAATGGTGTTGGTTTGTCCCGCATCGATGTCAATGGGTTTCTGCTTTCTCATCACCTTCACATCATGATAGATGGACCCAGTTTTCTTGTCCAGGATGAAAACTTTGGGTGTGTCAAGAAACAACTGACTGGGGTCAACAAAGTTCACCACTAATCTCTGTGTGTCAGGTGGAACTTGCAATGTGAAGCTGCCCTGGAATCCCGTGGTGCCCACCCTCTCTTTACCTATATAAATGTGGCCGAAGCGCAAAGGTTCTCCAGTGTCAGCTGTGACCACTCTGCCTCTAACCAGCACTGTTGGCTGCACACATTTCTGACAGCCACACACCGTCACAGCCTTAATGGGAAGGCTGTAACTCCCACAGTCAATGGTTTGACTTTCCATACTCTGAACTCCGCAGCAGAACCTGGCGTCATCTCCGCAGCGTGTATCAAAGTCTAGTGAGCCAGCACATTTGTTGTGAGGGCAGCGGCCGGCGTTGTAGTACTTGGAGTTGGTCCCGGGTTGAACGCAGTCAAGCGGCAGTCTGATGAGATGCATTTCAGGGGTGGAGTTGCAAGATGGCTGTCCTTTAGCTGTGAAATAGATGATAAAAAGGCAAATAAAGAAGACGTGATGGGTGTAAAGGCAGCGCTGTGAAATGTAGCTCATTTATAAAGGCGACATATCAGCCGCAGTGGAACATAAGCCACAAATGGCTCTATATCAGTTTGCCGAAAACACAGAGTACTTCATGTTTTTAAATTGCATATGTCATATGTGAGGGAAAATAAAACTCACGCAGTACGTACACGGAGTACAGTTGAAGCACAGTTGAAACTCAGTACAAAGTTTGAACGTTCTAGTTTACTGGCCCTTTTAGAGGGGGGTCCCAGGGTACCCACAGAGACCCCGTACCCACAAGAAACCTGGCATTTAGAGCAGGCTTTCACTATTTCTGCAAGCACTGACATAGTTTTATATCAAACTGAAATTGTTATTAGAGTGTTTTTCAACTCCTTTCTGAAATTTTATGTAGTTTGACATTTCCTGTGGCCTTAGTAATCACAAGGTTACTGTAATCTGAACAAAAGAGTCACAAAAATATGGAACTAAAAGTGCAGGAATTTAGAGAGCTGAAGACATTTGTCCAGTTCTATTACAAATCTCTGTCTTTTGAGTGTGGTCTTAAAAGAGCTGGAATTGAGGTAAAGTGTCGTTTGACTTGGAGAAAAGAAAAAGGTTTTGCCATGCAGTAATCGTCAAATGATAAAATGTCTTGATGGCCTTTTCTTGAAGTATATCAAACAGGATGAAAACGTTCCCGGACACAGTGGGATGTTCTGGGGCCTGATGTTTTTATTTTCTTTCAATGTTTTCTGTTTCCTCTCTCTCTCTCAGTTGTAGGACACTGTGGTTTTGTCTGAAAGCTGTTAATTCACAGGCTTGGATCACGGATGACTTAACGTGAGCTCAGTCCTGACATTTCTCTTCAAGACAACGTTCAATCACTGAGAAGTTGCTCTTTTAAAACAAACTGAGGTTTTTGCAGTGGTTTGAACTTTGCACCAGTGCCAGGTGCCCGGGGGTTTCAGCTACTTTGCACTATAATCCCATTGTGCTGCTCCAGGCATCGTAGTATTTTTCAATGGGTAATGATGATGAATTACCAATTACATGACATCACTGTGACTCTGACAAGTCTTTGTTAGATTTTGGATTTTACTACAGGGTGGTTTTAACTGGATCCAAATGAAGGATTACTTGGGCTAAATTGTGTTCTGCGGTAATGCGTGAAAAATTTGTTTTCGGTAGAGGTGTAAAAATGTGCAGTACATACGTATTACAGTGAGGGAGGCAGGGGTGGATTTGATGTTGCCAGCAGGGCTGTTGGCTTTGCAGTAGTAATCTCCTGACTGCTCTGGCTTTAGGTCCCTCAGTACCAGGTCCTCTTCATACTTGTACACTTTCCTGTCCAGTAGTGTCCCATTGTGGTACCTTGAATTTAGTGGTATGATTAGCATCAGGTTGTACTGTTACTACAGTTTCAACATGTGTATTGATCTCACCAGTAGTATTTGTCAGGTACAGGCGATCCCACTGCCTTGCAGCAAAACTGCACTCGTCCTCCTTCGTAACGTACTTTGTCCTCTGGGTGTTTCACAATGTGTGGCTTTGCTGTGTGCAATAACAAAAAGAAGAACTTTATATCAATTTAAAGATGTACAAAAAAAAAAGAAGAAGAACTTTACATCAATTCAAAGATGTTTGCCTGTTAAGAATGCTGAGGAGGTGCTGATGCAAATAGACACATTGTTTCCAGACAGTAAACCAGTTAGTTTTAGTATTCAATTCACCTGCAGATTTAAGTAAGAGTTGAACCCAGGAAACTCCTGTGTTGTTACTAAGATGTTGTTACTAAGAGGGGAGACAGTGGCCGGGACGAACTTCTCCTTCTTGATGACCACCATCATTGAGCTGGAAGAGCAGAATCCCAGGATTCTGAACTGACCCTTGGAATCAGTACGGGCCCGGACCACCTTTGGCTGGTCGGTCAGTGACACAGTAGCCCCGTCCACAGGAACACCAGAAACACTATGGACCTCTCCGTGCAACACATGGCCATCACACATGCAGTGGCTGCAGTCCTCACTGGGGTGACCCTCAGGGCACACGTACTGACATTTAACTGTTAGTGGAAAACATGATGACGTCAAAATAGACTGCTACAGTTATGAAAGGAAATTTCCAATAATCAGTAGTCCACACTACCTGGACATGGGCTCTTCCCACACTTTTGTACTTCCTGGGACCGTCCTTTACATTGCACTGTCACTGAGGTCCTCACACAGGTCCTCCTCCTAATCCTGCGACCTCCACCACAGGTAGCTGAACACACCCCCCACCGGCCCCAAGGACTCCACTTGGCTGATTCAAAAGACAAAGACAGACAGATGTGTCCCCTTTCTACACTATATAACAGTACATATAAAAACAACAGTTTGACCAGGACTGTACCCACCTGTACATGGAGGAGAGGAGCACTCCCTCCTCTCTGAATGGTGTCCCTGGCACGCTGGCACCAGAAGGAGAGGCATTGGCTGGGTACTGACACACTTCCTCTGGCGAACTTGGATACCTACATCATCACAAGTGGTCGCGGAACAGTGACCCCATTCACTCCAGTCGCTCCAATAACTCTGCACTACACAACGGCGGAGCGGAGAGCAGAGTTGAGACGTCGGGACCGGAGCTGACATCCTACACCGAAACGACTTTTACAAGCACGAGCAGTCGGTTTTTTTTACCTGGTGGACACTGAAAGCGAACGTAGTAGTTGGAGCAGATGCGTCCTAGCGGCTGCTCTTTGTTGATGCACCAGAAGCCCTTGTCCAGACTGGAGTGGACCACTTCCCCGGTGTCTTTAGCTGCCACCCACTCTGTGGTTCGAACCTCCATGGCTGTTGGCCGTGCGCACACTCTCTCCCTGTAATAGAAGCGGATTGCCTCCAGGCGCTCGTAGTCTCCATTCCCCCCAGGATGGTCGATATTAAACCAAGACGTCCACTCTGTCAAACCTGGATTATGATGGTTAACCGCATTTATTTTTTATAGAATTAATTATTTTTAAAAAAGCGTAATGCTATTCAGATACTGTTGTGGCACAGGATGAAGAGTTATGCAAAATGTTTTAAAGTTACAGAGATTGTAAACTTGTTTCACATGAAACGGAGTCGTGGGTCAGGAAAAAAAAAACACAACAGTACACTGCAAAGATGGGCTCTAAACTTTAAGAGCTTCTGCTTCTGCCATTTGAATATGACTTCATATACCCCAGAGAGCATTGCATTGTCAAGGTTCTTTCCAAACCTCATGGTTTGACTGATGAGGCGTAACGTCTAGTTTTATTTCAAAGTCATGCTCCATATTCTGAAACCTGAGTATTTCCTAAGGAGAAATATCGGTAATTAAAATTGAAAAAAAGCAGTTACCACATACAAAGGGAGTATTTTTCTCCAGCAAAGTAATGCATTGCTTCAAGCTAATGAATAAAGTCTTATTCTGGGCCCACAAAGGGATCTAATGGAGTGGACATATGTTGAAAAACAGCATTTCTCTGTTCAATTAAAAATGGTAAAGTCAACAGTCTGACAGGACACTCAGTCTGACAGGACACTCGGTTTTAGATTCCTCTGTCTGTTTCTGTACTTTGAACGTCTTAAGTTTTCCCACGGTGCTCCTTAAAAGAAACTGTTTACATGTCAGCCAGTTAAGACTTGAATCGATATAATACAAGATGACTTTTAAATATCATATATGATATAACATATTTGTCTTTAACATCCAGTTGGTAACGTGGCGTATTGTGACAACCTTTGTGTTTCCTTTATGTTTGCAGGTTCTCTGTGAACTTTATGACGTAAAGATCATTATGTTTAAGGTACAAACATGGATGTATGGATGGATGGATGGATGGGTGGGTGGACAAATGTCTTTTCTGATCCCCTTGACCAATAGCACCAACACAAAGAGACCAATAACTATAATAATACCTGTTGTCTGTGAGTCAGTGAATGGGTTGGCAGCCACCCTCCTGCCCCGGTCTGACTCACTCCTGGATCCTGTAGAGGGAGAAGAAGACGTGACTTTTATATCCCTGCATTCCTGAACTCCAACTTGATGTCTATCAGAGACTAAATTTAAGAAAACATAAATCCAACTTTTATGCACTGACAACAGGCCAACGCTCAGTCCTGCAGAGCTATTTCTGTACGTAAGGGCACGGCCTCAGGTTGACAGCCTGATGTAAAACTATAATTTAGACAAACATCTGGATGAACATTTGATACGATATCAGTTAATGTCATCTCCCATCTTTCCTTTAATTTTATGTAAACTTGCTGTAAAATCATCTCCGTTCACCTTTCCTGTTTGTGTGACGGAACGTCTGGCGAGACGGAGGAAAGTTAGTGTTCAGTGTTTATCTCTCGTTCGCTCTTCGCCTCCTCTGCTCCTCATCCTTTCATCCTCCTTCCTTTCAAATCTACAGACCATCCTTTCACCCACAGTCTCAGCTGAGCTACTAATCATATTTGTTTCTCAACTTTTGGCTCCTTGTCCTCCTCTTGTCCTCTCCTTATTTCTTCACTCATCAACAGGCAGTTGCTGTTGAGGTTGCTTATCAAGCTCCAGCTGAGACAAATCAGCTCACAAAGAGTCATCTGTCCAGCAGCAGTCAGAGCAGAAAACAACACTCGAACTGATTTAATCAAACCTTAAACAACACACACACACACACTTTCAGTATTTGGAAAAATACTTTGTGAGAGTTTTAGTGGACTATTCGTGTTAGCAGACTGTTCTATGTGCTAATTTAAAGTAATGAAAACAACGTAAGAGTTTTTTTGTTTTCAAGTTTCAATAGACTATATAGGTGGTACACACACACACACACACAAGGCATATTTAATCCCGGTCTGATTGCGAGTGCATTCTTGTGATTTGTTGAACTTCAACTCTGACACGTTGGACCCGTTGGTGATTTGAAGCTCAAAGATTCATTTTCCATGAGGGATATATTTATGTTTTTGAAAGAAACGTCAGTTGTTTGCTTGACATTTGTTCTCTGAGGTTTGAAGCTGGACGGTAAGAGGAAAATCTAAATGTCATGCTGTGGGAGAGAAACAAAAGGTGCTTATGTGGCCTCTCTCTGCGTGTGTGGGTGTCTGGGTGTGTGTGTGTGTGTGTGTGTGCGCACGCCCATAGATCATACGAGTCATACGTGCAGGCGCCTGACACAAACAGGGTTACAGTGTTACTGTATGTTTACCAGCAAACACCTCAGAGACAGGCAGAAGATCACAGTCTTTGTTGTCAAGTTTTTTGTCATGCCAGCAAATTTATGTTTAAGCTGAAAAAAATAAGAGGTTCAGAGAAAAATCTTAAATGTTATAACTGGCTTTTTAAAAATTAAAACACAAAATCACCATGATCCAGAATTGAACAACCGTGATTTGTTCACTTTCTGAGTTGAACCTCTCTGCTTTTTGGCAGAATTTAAAGCTACCAAAGAAAGAAGGACGAAGGGAAATGTGGAGATGTTCAATGGCTTTGGCTCCTCTTAATGATTTGAGAATTGGAAATCCTAGGATGGGGGGGTCACATTGTAAAAACAACAACTGGATCCTACATGACAGGCTGGTGGATAGTGTTAAGGTCACCAGAAAAAAACAGAAGCCAACAACATACGTACGTACATGAGAAATCCATCAGCAGCGTAATGCTAAAGCATCTGTCACCAAAGTCTAGACGTTTTTGAATTCGGCACAACCGGCGGATTCTTAGATGTGAGCGCAAGTATTTTGTGAGTAGGGGTCTGGGTATGTGATGATCTTTTTGCCATTTCATATGGAAGCTGTTTATGTGTTTGGCCGGCTGCTGAGCTAAGGTGTTTGTGGTTATGGACGAGTCTGCTTTCTCTCTCTGGATCCTTCTCTCTCTTTACACCAATACTCCTTCCTGTCAAGAAGCCAAGCCTGATTTCTTTACCATCTGCAGCTTGTTAAATTAAATTTTTCCCCTTGACATTAAGTAATGATGCAGATCAACCTTGTGATTTAAAGGTGTACTACAAAGGTTTTTTGGAATATTTTCCCCTTGATACTTACAACAACACAATGGCACAGTTGGACTTTTGTTTTAAAAATAACTGGAATTTCTCTGTACGTAGCCTATGTGAAAAGCAGCAGACGAATGCTGCGTTCAATGAACCCTGTTTTATAGCAAAGGGTGTCTGTCCCCAGCTTTTCAATTGGAGGACTGCGCATTATTCTAAAAGTGCGCCTGACGCGAAAGATAATCTCTGGCAATTTATCAAACGTCTGTTGTTTCCTCCCAGGTTCTCAGGTAGTAAAGCCTCCGTCTCTCCCCGGAGTTATGGTGGGAATTTTGCAACAGCTGTTGCCTCTAAATATGAAAGTTAGCTCATAAAACTGTAATACAGTGTATGTGGAGAGTGTCTGTCAACACAGCGATGGGAAGTGAGAGACAGGAATAGTGTAGGTGTAGGTAGTTGATGGAGCGATGACAGAAAGAAGGGGAGAAAGGTGAAGGACACGTTTATGGAGAAAGAGCTGAAGGAGATTAAAATCAGAGGCAAACGGACACATGGGAATGAAGTGGTAATATAATTATATAAATAAAAGAGTATGTAGGAGTTATAACAGGTCAGGTTAAATAATCTGTTGTAATTCCTCTCTTTTATTTTCCCCAGATTTTCCCCAGCAACTGAACTTTGAGCCATAGAGACGTCCAGGTCCGTTTTATATTTAGTTCCTGCGTTGGCTAAAGAATTACATTTATTTTAGAAAGATTCAATATAAATCATTGACCCGTTTATCCCAGCAACCTGTCGTAGAGGGGTGTAAAAAAAAAAAAGACGAAAAAACTTTTAAGATGAGAGTCCAAAAAGATATGTATGCTTTTATGAACCGCCAGCTACTTTACCTAAAGAAGTTAATCGGTAGCAGCTGTCAGGCAGACAGAGAGTGAGAGCTTTGGAAAAAGTGCTGCTCGTGTACTTATTCATGAAGAGTGGTTTAAGGCGATAATGGTAATAAAGGTCAGGGGTGAATTTTGCCATCTGGTTCAGCCTGGAGAAAGTGACAGTAAACAGACACTTCAAATGGGAGAGCGGGTAAAAGGAGAACATGTGGCGTTTCTACACTGCCCTATTATATAAGTTCACCATAGTTAATGAATGAGTGAGCGTGTTTGTCCCACCCTCCCAAAATGGTCAAAAACTATACACTAAAACTACTTTTTATTTTACCTCAAATCTATTTCATTAAAAGTCTGTGATTGTGGTTTGTTCCACAATCCTTGTAACAAACAAACAAATGTAAAAAAGTGAAATGTCAATTACAGGAGGACAAAAGACACAAGTCTGACTTCACATTGTCCTGGTGGATTTCACGTCTACCATTGCTCGCTGCTGATTAGCCTGATGGGGAAACGTGCTGGGGTCTTCACCTCCACCATCAGGGACCACCGACATGGGTGGTCACAAAACACGAACGCGTGAGATCACCACCAGACGTTTTCTCTGTACCAGCCTTGATATTCCTGTCATCCTCTGGGAAATGTGCTCAACTCTGCAGCTAAGTCACATGTGAGTGTGGTCGACACTTGACTCTTTGTTTTAGTATATGAGGGGAAGGAAAAAAAAACACACACAAAAAAACATTTGAAGACAGATATTGAAAAAAAAAACCTTTTTAAAGTTAACTTTAACTTCTGTTTCAGTTTTGGGTCGAACCCTGGGGTCTGTGTGTAGTGTATGATGGAATTGAATTGTTCTAACAGTTCTGGAGGAAAAAGAAAATCAAATGGCATCAGATCAGAACCCATTTGAAAGCTTCAAATATTTCACCAGGTTTCCATTCAAGTCAAGATTTTGAAAAAAAACAAAAGCCTGAATAACACTTTGATTTGTAAATTATTATTTTTTAAGGGGTTGAAAAACCTGATTAAAAACCACAGCTCAACTGTGGAGACGTCAGAGAGACACCTCTTGACTCACCTTGGATGGGATACTGACAGTGACAATAAGGACAGAAAACCTGTGTCCTCGAGTCAAGGACGCAAAGAAAAGACATTGATCAGGTTTCACTCACCTTGGCTGAGAGCCACAAAAGCCAGGACGGTCAGCAGGACGGAGACCCTACTGAAGGTCATCATGGGGTCACACCTCAGCTTTAAGGTGACTTTTCGACAGCACTGTCATAAATGACTAAGGAAAGTTTGAATCTTATGCGTTCAGGCACGGTGGAAATCTCTCAGGTGTGAGTGATGCTCCTGGTCGAGCGGAGTCTCTCACCGCTGCTCTTTCACACACACACGCGTGAGTCCGGCTGCTGATGTAGAGATGGGAGTTGAGAGGTTTTTAAAAGAAGGGTCATCGGGACTCCACACCAATCCAGCCCCTCTCAGCTCACCATTGGCCAGTCAAGTGAAACATCTGGGTCCCCCATATCATTTTCCCTAAAACGGTGAGGGTAGGGTGGGGGTGGAGTGGGAAATAGTCATACAGAGACGTATGAGAGGGTGTGGAAGGGCGTTGGGCTTGATAGTGAAGGGAGAGAGAGAGAGAGAGAGAGTGTGTGTGTGTGTGTTGTTGTTGTTCAAAATAGGGATGCGATTTCCACTGTTTCCAGCCAAGGTCTCATAAGTTCACTGTCTTTTGAAGTGAAAATTGAGGAATTCTTGGCTTAAAGCAGGAGTGTGTACGTGTGGGTGTGTGTGTGTGCGAGCTCATTTCAATTTGTACAAAAATAGTTTGACACAATGTTTTCCTGTCCTTGTTTTTCCTGTCCTTCACAAACCCAAGGATTTTTTTTTTTGTATGTTTACTCAGTTGAAATAAAAAAAAGAGCGCTTGTAATCATTCTGTGAAAAATGTCCTTCACTGCCCACATCTGTCTTTCTCTCCGTCAGCCTCTTACTCCATCTCTCCAGCAAGCATACGACAATGCCAGATGCAGCTCTCTCTCCGTGGTTCTGACTCCTGGTTCAGTTTTGTAACTTTTTAACAGTCTGTGATTGCAGGTCGTCACAGTGCCAGAGAGTAGAAATGTGGTCATATGGAATGTTGTTCAGGGAAAGCTCCTCTGAAAACACAGACACAGTATGTGCCTGTAAAATACAGTTCAGTGTAATTGTTGCTATTAAGTATGGAGAAGTGGCATAATGGAGTTACAAGGGGTAGGAAAGGGGAAATGGGGGAGGGGTCAGCGTCAAAGTAAGCTTTATTGTCAATTTCTTCACATGTAGCAGACATACAAAGTCCAGTCATTGTCCCATGCGTAGATAAGACAGGACAAAACATTAAAGTGCAAAACTAAATACTAATGTACAGTACGGTGCAGTGAAGTGTGATCAGAAAAAAAAATTGAAAGAAGGCAAATTAGAGCTGGAATTGTTATGTATTATGTTTTGTAATGTATCATGATCCAAATACCAGTTTAATTTGTTTTGTTTATGTCACGGATTTAAGTAAATTAAAAATTGAATATATAGAATTTGCACCTGAAACCTACTACCTAATTGATGGGTGTGATTGAAGATTTAAAATGTTATTAAGAAACCTCGTATATGTTCTCTATTTATTTCTGTTTTTACTTTATTTTTAGTGTATTTGTACACACAGATCTACAATGTTCTTCACATTATTAATTAAAGATACGTCATTTCCTTTTCCGTAGCAAGAGTGTTCAAAAGATACCGGAAATGTGCGCTCTGCTTTTCCCAACAAACATTTGGTCGTCGTCGGGTGTGTGCGTGCCACGAGGGAAAG